GGACAAGTTGTTATTTGGACAGCTACATCTCACCCGGTGGACGCATCACGGATGAGGTATCGGCGCGCATACAGAAGGCTCGGGTGGCATTTGCTAACTGGAGACAGCTGTGGTGCCGTCGAGACATCCAGCTGTCTGTTAAGGGTGGAGTATATACTGAAGCAGTTCGGCCAGCTCTGCTATACGGTGCAGAAACTTGGCCATTAAGAAAACAGGATAAAGATACTGTCGGTGTTTGAACACCTCAATCTACGAAGCAGTGCACGCACATGGTGGGGCAGCCGGACGAGCAATGTTGAGGTCAGGCGCAAAGTTTTAGGCAACCGCGGTCGCCCACTGGAGCAAATGGTCGACATCCATAGATTGCGGTGGTTGGAGCATGTCACCAAATAGGTTGCCACGGCGAGCGATGTTTGCCGAGGCAGGCAGTGGGTGGAAAAAAGCCAAGAATGGTCAAGCTAAGACCTGGCATGAGGNATGGAAACCCTAACCAGGAGTCTGGGTCACATAGGTCTCGTTAGGCTCCCCGGATGGGGACCTCGTGATAGTCGTACCCGATGGTTAGAGATACTGAGTGATATAGCTGGGTGTCGTAAACAGTAGCGCTCGTGCATCTCAATTTCTCTGTATCATTTGCCCACTGAAGTTTTCAATTTCCTCTTCGATCCTACTTACAACCTTTCCTGTCTTTCTCCTAATGTTCATCTAAATGGGCAGCCGAAGTATAGCAACCAAAACCGGCGCACGATAGTGCATGGTTAATGGTTGTACAAACTGAAAATGCAAAACAACACCGTTCGACTTTTCGTTGAATTAAATTTCTTGTAAGAGACTATTCGTGCTGCCTGAATGGAAATCGTGATGCCAGTAAGTCAAAGAAACCGCTGAGACTTCTTTTCGAACAAACAAGAACTGATGTCCCCATGGGAGCAAACAGTACAAATCTTTTTACTCCAATGGGTGCAAGTGGCGTTTGGTAAACCGATAACTTTACGCTGGTGAGCCGTAGGCAGTAACGCAAAATTTGTGATGAATGGCAGGAAGACCTGGGTTAATTTCGGACTCCTTCGAAGCTTATTAAAGAAATTCATTTACTATCGGACTGTTGCTATAAACTACGACATTACTTGATGGAACTAGAGCTGAAAAAGTCGATTATGATCAGAAGATCAGCATAGTTTACTGGGGCGAACAACAGGAGACGTCTAACAAACTTACGGATAGGCGAAAATTGGTGAGTTTCTACTTGAGTTAAACGGACGCAGCTGACGTTTGTTTACTTTACAACGACAAGTGTTACGTTAAGGTCTCCGGGAAAGCTGTACCGTAAGGGAAAACTTCGTATGTTTGCAGCGATAGCCCCTTGAGATGATTCGTTCGCTCACTCGGGAGGCAGAAGTGAAACTATCTTACAGTACCTATAAACAGATAATTTACGTGGGTCACTGCTCGCAAAGATGACTTCGTGAATGGAACGATCTTCGGGGTTACATTGTGACTCAAATCAAACCATGGCAAACAGAGACATTGCTTTACATTTGATAACGTGTAGCTACAACTGATTCCTATAGAATTCGTACATGGGTAAAATACGGAGTGAATAAATTAGGGCGTGCCTCTTACGCGAGTGTTTCGATCGTATTTTACCGATAAATCACAATAAGAATGAGATTATTTCAGCAAATATCATATTCACGATGCACAGACATGAAAGCGACTAATGAAGACGATCGAAATGAAAGTGGAGTAGTCAAGGACCGAGAGGGAAAAATGGACAGGGTAGCGATACAGACCAGATGCGAATGCGGGGTCAGGATTGAGTTGGTTTAGGCGAGCGAGCGGGAATGAAGATGTTTGACGGGAAGCAGTCTTGACAAATTGAAGAACGACGGCGACGACGAATTCAGATGTAATGAATGGGAGAAAGAGAGACGCAAGGCGCAATGATAGCTTACCGAAAGACTGCCGGGTAGGTTGTGGCTTGTGTGAGTGGGTGGTTTCATGAATAATCGCGAGTCGAGGTGAACGTGAAGTAGAAACACAATCTCCGATGGACACGCGATCAGAAAAATACCTACTCGCCCACTCAATGTTTGCGTTTGGCAAACCGCCTCGAGTATGAATGACGAGAGGGAAACCGGACGGAAGCCGTTAGAGAGAGGCGAACAGCGAAGAGAAAAACCAAAACAAATCAAAAAACACGACAAAAAAATCAGGTAGCATGCGATCGAGGTGAGTAGAATGAAGAAAGATGAGTATATGAGTGAAGCGGATTGCGTTATGAGTATGTGAAGTGTTCGTTCGCGAGCAGGAATAAAACAAACGAGTTTAGCAAAAGAGTGACTGGTCAGCAATGATGCCAAGATTCCAGGAACCAAGGAAGATGCGAGGTGAGCACGGCAAATGAAATTAGTAAGAGGTAAAAAAAGGCTTTTAGTATGATGCATAAACGAGTGCACGAGTACGAGGCTGACTCGAGCAGCACGTCGGCGAGAATACGAAGTGGAAAAACGAGTAGTGTGTGCATATACGAACGATGGGGTATAATCAGAATGATCGTACGATCCTTTTCATTTTTTTGTCCCTCACACAATAACAGGTGCAATGTGGATGCGGACACAGTCCGACAGTAGCCAAGAATCGTTCATAAATAAACACACTTCCGTTTCCAGTTCGATTATCTCAAAACTATGATCCATGAGGGAAACCAATGAATCATAAAAATAGAATGAAGAAACCGGTAGATGTCTACGTGACTAATAGAAGGCTGACAATACCGTCTGCATTCGCGCAAGTGAGAGTAGAAAAGTTCAATGTGGT